AGTAACAATTACTGGTATATTAAGAGTAACAATTATAAAAAACGACTTTTTTGGCACAATAATAAGTAAAATTATTTAATATAACTTACAGCCAACTAGATTCAGTAAAAGTGTTATTATCATCAGGGCAATTGGTAGGATTTTGCCGTGATAACGGCAACACGTTTACCGAAGCTAGTTGGCTGTAAGTTATATTAAATAATTTTACTTATTATTGTGACCTAAAAAAGTCGTTTTTTATAATTGTTACTCTTAATATACCAGTAATTGTTACTCTTAAGAAATATATCTTTCTAACGGGAATTCACGCATAAGAAGGTTATCATTAAAGACTGTAAATTATGATGAACTGTGCCTTCTGCTATATGTTTTAACTTTCTTGGGACTTATTACATAATTCTATCTGGTAACAACAAAGAGGATTGAGAAACCATCTTTATAACACCCGAAGAGTGAATTACGTTTGTTGAAGTAATTCTATATAACAATATTTCGCCACGCAGGGTTCTTTTTTTGTTAAGACTTTGTGGTATGACATGAAACTTAGCAATGTTGTATGTGGTAGACGCAATAGTCTGTGATATCATGTGATGTATCATTGCCCACAACACCTAAATTACGGCATTTTTAAGCCCTTGTAAAGTTGTTGGGTTAAATCTGAATAACCCCAGAAGAAGAAGTCACAAGAGTTTCACTCGGATGACATTGGAGGCCAGGATAACTGATAGTCACAGACGTCAGGTGATTTTTCGAACCGACGTTACTTTCGAAGGTTTCACAAAAAAATATCCAACCCAATGTTTTTTACTGTGCTGCCACCTATCGTACTTGAATAACCAGAGTATGTAGTGCAATGTTGCCAATTTTTGTACTATTAACGTGTTATACATTAGAGGTACTACAAACACAAAATGTACAATGTATAAAAAAAAATTGTATATCCCTTTGCAAGAGCTAGTTTTTAAATATAACAAAATGGCTGAATAAACATCAGATTGTTATCTTACTTTTTTCAGGGCAAGGTCGACTAGACGGAGCATTCTGTGAATATAAAGAAGAAGATAAAATGAAACATCTAGAATATTTAAGAACGCAGGGTGTCACAAACATCGAAATGGAGTCTCTAGCTTTCGCAGCAATGTGCAACTATTCTGGAATTAAAGGTTTGTTGTATTATGATGTGCAACTATTCTGGAATTAAAGGTTTGTTGTATTATGATGTGCAACTATTCTGGAATTAAAGGTTTGTTGTATTATGATGTGCAACTATTCTGGAATTAAAGGTTT